ATTATTTTGACCAAATATTTAGTTTTCTATTTCCCCGATGTTTTCTCCTGTGATTAGTAAATTTTCGGGCAAATTGACAACTACGAAAAGATGCCGGAGTACCCCTTTAAGGCCTTTACAATACAAATAAACAATCAACCAAATAAATATTTTATGAACAGAGCTGGGTATTCTTAAACTGTGTAGAAAATGACGTTAGTATCTCTCGTAAAATCCATCTTGAAACAAAACCGAAAATGTTTTTAAATTAGCAAAAACAATCAAAGAAATCAAGGAGAATATGCGAAGCCAATTTGCGTAAGAGAGATTATTGGTGTGGGTAAATATCACAAATGTATGAATTCGAGAACTGACTTGAAATACAAGATGTGGTGTGTGAACACGGCTATTAAGTTTAAATAACGCCGATTGTTTGAGGAGGGTTCCAAGACGAAATATTAAACTATTTTTAATGATAATAACTGAACACGGTTTTTTAAACGATAGCATTTCTTTGAGACCCGTTCCAATAGCAGTGGCTGTGACCTACGTCAAAGTGCTCTAGCGCGAGCCGTGCGCCGAGAGGACCAACGTCCCCAGAAACATTACCGTCTGTGCTAGGATTACTGAAGATACGCGAGTTGGGAAGTATCTCTTAGAAATTGTAACAGTTTCAAGGGTGGCAATCGCAGAATCGCGCCCACTGTGTAACAAATACCCGTCCAAAAAGGAGCACTTATAAAATCGCGGAAAGTCCTTATCCATCCACTTTTTGACATTTCCAGTTACATCTCTTCCTCACGTTGGTTTCAGTTCACACATTATATGTCAAACACTTTTGTAGAGGTGGTCATCCACAAAGCTTCGGCCAGCGGGGTCACCGCAGCCAGCTAAGGCTGGTGTTCGTTCCGATCACGTGGCAATGCCGGTCTGTCGGAGGTGAGAATTGAATCGTTTAAACGAAGTTCGTTTAAATGATCTTAGGTATTTTTTTAATACACTGCTGTTTGTGCCTGGTATTTCTCATTTTTAAAGAATCTTTGTATTTGCTTCAATATACGTATGTTTGTCAAATGGTTTACGCGCGGAAAGTTGGTTAAAATATCTTTATATTATTCCTTATCGGAGAAATCTTAAACAGGCTTCAATATATAGCAAAACACTAACAAATATATAGGTTGTTGAGAGTGGCGTGTAAATTTACCTCTTGTGGAGATTGTGCAAAACCAGAACTAATTAAAACGAAAAAGCCTTTATACCTAAATATCAGAATTATACTTCCTTTTCATTTCTACGCTCATAAATAAGTAATTTTAAAAACAAATATTGCCTCGAATTTTTTTTCTGGATGAAATTTTTGTGTATTGAATTCGAACACTTTATAAATTAATTTTCTAGTTTGGGCAATGCATCTTTAAGAAATTATTCTTAGTTAGAACATTCGATAGTGTGTTTACTTATTTTCCTTGCATTTTGATTATGCTTGGCTTGGGAGTTGCGGAGTTCTTTTAATGTTTAGACCTGCACAATCTTCATCAAAAGAAGCTCTGCCCACATTCTGACTTCGATAAATCTGGTTCATCCCACTCTATAAGGAGTATTCATTGGAGGTAGGGCTGGGCGTCGATTAAAAAGTTTAACTTGATTAATCGACACCCTTTAATCAATCGATTAATTGGACTCATTAATTTCCATGCATAACATTTTTTTAAAGTCAAAGTTAATATTTTTTGTTTATGCATTTGCTGAACATAAGGTAACCTAAAGGGCGGAATGTACTATTTTTATTATGGACTAACCTTGATGTGTAGTTAAGAACAGTTCAAAGGCACTCCCACACAAAGATTATTACACTTCAGCTGCATCGAGGCAAAGAACTTTGTTTATATAATCTGGTAAGAGCGACCTCCTTTGATTGCTGACACTAGTCTCTGCTGTGATAAACAGACACTCGAGCGGCGTTGAAGTACACGTGTAACCTTCTGCATTTCTCGGGAGTTACAAATCTTGCCCCTACAGTTTACTTTAGGCTAAATGTTGACTTAAAGTTTGCCCATCATTCGGGTGTTCCCGTCAACATCTGCACGGTGAAACAGTTTTGTTTTTACTATTTTGGCTCGTTAAAAATTTACCGATTAACCCGTTTAAAACAATTTATAGCGATTAAACCAATAATCGATCAATTGGTTGGTTCATCTATCAATGGTCCAGCACTAATTAGAGGCCCTAGCTGTGTGCGCTGCTACTGAGCGTGTGCTGACGGCAAACTTTCGCAGTTTTTTTGCAACATGCATTCCGCACCATCAGGATTGCTGGTCTTAGCAGGCTATTAATCTGAGCCCTTTCTGAGCATGCGCTCTAAACATTGCCCTCAAATATGGCGCCCAGTGTAAACAGGTATTTTAATACCTTTTCTTTCTCCGAAAAATTAGCTTTCACAGCCGACGAAAAATTCAACTAAATACATTGGTGAAGGGATATGCGCCTGAGTTCAGTATACATAATGTCAATGTCTACGAAAATTTCAGCCCACAGCTGTCAGCTCACAGCCCATCACGTGCATCTTCGTCGCCTCAGAAGTCGAGCAGAGCACGCGCAACATGCACGAGCCCTGAAAATGGCACGAACCAGAACCGCTTTTCTGGAATTGAACGTAGACGTTTTTCTAAATTATCCAGACACGAAGGAGCATGCTGCAAGTATAATTACATGTGCTGGCGTTTGCGACTTTACCATTTCTCAACCAAATATAAAACAAATGGCGCGTGCACTCAGGTAGGGCGAGCGTGACCAATTGTACCACATTCCAGGCACTCTCCTTGATGTCTAGGTAATTTGACGAAACGTGTATTACGAGTCTTTTTGACCTTTCTTTGCAGCGTAATTGCTTGCTTGTGCAGGGAGGAGATGTATATGAACAGCTATTTTTACAGGACTAGCCAGCTGTGACCGGATGTACCAAGTTGCGCGAACGGTTTCCTCAAAAACAAGTTGCTTCTGTTTCTTCTCATAGTTCAATACGTTGGCGAAGGTAAAAATCTGTACAAATACAAATTTTTGACTTAATATCGCACGAACCTCCTGTTTTGTGGTTGTAAGACGCGAGCGATACCTCAGTGCCAGCCGTGAGCCATGCTTACCGCCGGTGACATCACGTTTTGATATGGTGGAGAAAAAAAACGGAAAAACCGAAAAATACGAAGTTTCGACTTTGGCATCGAACTGAATATTACTACGCTGAATCTGGGCAACCGTAAGAGCATTTCGGAATCAGAAAGTCGCCAGTATTCAGAGAGTGTGCTTGGATCAAGTATAACTTAAGCAAGTTCCTTTTTCGCGATTTGCCAATTACAGCCATGGGGTGGGCTATTCCTATGTCGAAATGTCTTCAGCAACGAGAACAACCAATCAAAAAGCTCGGCATGGTTTCGATCACCACAAACGCAGGCAGCGGCCCTTTCGGTAACGCTTGTTCTGTGGTCGCGTCCATGCAGTCAGATGTAACCCAGACGGGCTAGAATCTTCTGCCTTATTGAGTCTGAGATAACCGCCTTGGTCGAGTGCTGCGAAACCGATCACTACGAAGTCAACAAATCCAACATTGTTTCGCAAAGTGACGGGTTGCATTCAAATTTTTAATGCGGTGCGCGTTAAAAAAAGAAGCCGCGACGTCGTTGTTCTCCAAAACCTCCATGTACAATGACATTTCTGACCATCAAACGGTTTTGGGACTCATGTCACTTTAGTATGTTTTGTAACCTCTCTCCCTTGCCTTATATTTAAAAGTCGACTACATCGTTTTTCAACAAATCCGTTTGCCCCCGATGTGCGACAGTGTATTGTATCACCGACGAACAAGGCAGTTTTGTGTACTAAAAATGTATTGTCTAGAAGTGTTGGGACCAGTTTTTTTCTGTCATCACACGTTCGTAAATTAATTGATTTACGCCCATTTTTAATACTTTTCCATCCTCCGAAACATTTCTTATCACTACCGATGAAAACCTCAACTACATACACTGGTTAAGGGATATGCACCTGAGTTCAATTACTGCTTTTTGAAACTCACTTATGTTCTGGCAATCGTTCCTTACCTGACGCCGATGTGATAAAGAGCTAAGGTTTGTAAATCCTGTCCACATATTTTTGCAACCTCGGGATTAGTGTTTGATGTAATTGGTTATTTATCTTTGGTTCTGTGATTTCTTTTTTGTCCGGTAGAAGGCACGTTTAAATAAAACACGTTTCCTGTACCAAAGAAGTTAAAGCTTCCTTGCGAGAGACCAGTGATGACGATATGACTCTTGTGACAAACAACAGATGGCAGCGAGATTTTGCGCATGCCCTGCAACAATTTCTACGCGTATTTTAAGAATAAATTTGCTGTATACCTAATTACGTCTAATTCCAGTGATGTATTTGTAATTGTATAAAACCAAAGTCGCAGATAACTTCTATCTCAATTTTTTAGGGTTCAGTTCTCCTTAAAGCGGTTTTCAAAAGCACACGTGATCATTTGTTAGCATGAAAGACGTCAGATTAGCTAAATACGTCGAGGAAACAGACTGACGCGATTCGTAATACTCATAATACATACATATGTACATATTTGTTTGCCAGGAAAACAGTGTACAATATATTGCTGGTCAAAGAAAGTAACATTTTTCTTGCACGTGTTTAGCAAAAAGGTTAAAAAAGCTTAGCGTAAAATATAACCTTTACAAAATTCCAACATCCGCGTGAATTCAATGGTAGCCGGAACTAAAGAGGATGGAAACTTTTCGCGATACTATATGTTTGTGGCCGTCACTATGCATTGTCCTGCAAAGCAGTTTCCAAATGTCATCATAATGTCACAAATAAAGCGCAATAAAAAGGCGGGACCATTTTCCCCTCATAAGCAAAATAATTTATCGCCCGCCAATATTTCTCAAAAGAAAGCGCAAAACACGTAGTCTTTTTTTATATCCAACTCCTTCGTCCTGACGAAGGATTAAATTTTGAGCTACAACAGGTTTTCGATGAATACACTACGCGGGACAATATGCCTCTGGCTCTGCTTGATGTATGCTGGTGTGGAATGTTGGCCCAAAGTTCGTCTAAGTTCAAGACAGGAAAAGGACGAAGGTATGCCGTTTCCTTTTCTTTTTTTTTTATAAGTGCTATGTTACATGTTGTTTTCGCTGCTGCTTTAGAACATAACCACTCCTCTTCCATGAACATATCGGAATAAAACTTTATTCATTTATTTATTTTATCTATATAAAGTTACCCATAAACAACGTGGCGCCTCCTCAGGGATGCACTTACCAATGTCAGACCGTATTATTGCTCGGACACAATAAAAAAATAAAACTTAAGACAAAACAATGGCAGCAACCTACTTTCTAAGTTTACAGCGTTCGTCAAAAATATATAGAATAACATTCCCACCATAATGTTTTAAATGATTATACGTCAATTGAAGGCATATCATGGGTACTACGTTATATAGATCGGGAGGATAAAACAAAGAGTAAAGTCAACTAGACCTACGAGGAACGCTCAAGTAGGCACGAGTTAGTAGAGCTGGTGAATCAACTGTACCATTTCCAAACTTATACAGAAACCTCAATCCACGGATCGTTCTCTCGTTGAGCAAATTGTCCAATTTCAAGAGGTCACAAAACATTTCGTAACTGTATAAATTATGCGGTTGAAAATAACTAACAAACAGTACACGAATGGATTTACGTCGAACACGCTCAACTGCACTTGAATTAGTCACTCCAATAGAGTTTCATACGTTTGGGAATTATTCGATGCGAGTATACGTACCCTTGAAGAACACAAAACATAAAAAGCCAAACAATTTAGAAAAACTGCGTGTGTTTTTGTAGGTCTTAGGTTTTACTGTCGAACCAAGGCTAGAGGTGATAATGGAAAAACCAAGAACAAAGCAATTTTGAAAGAAAAAAAGAAGGTCGTCCTTAAAGAATAGGTTTGTAAAGCAGAATGTAAAATATTAAAATGCTTGCGTGTTGCAGATTTAAAATGTGCGGTATACTTTGCCCATTCGTATCAGGGAATAATTACTTTGACCCCTAATTCACGCTACGATAAGTAACAATAATTCGGCATAAGTATCTGTTATGTGAAACACAGACAATTAAGCATAAACCATAGCCTCCTCTATATTCACAAAGCCTGGCAGTTGGACGATGGAGCCAAAGAGTGCCCAGTCGCAGATTTGGAGCGCGAGGACCCGGCAGCACAGAGCATCAAAGAGCCATATCTCGGGGAACCTTGACGTCAGCGCACAACTTCTGCAGCGGTGAGGACCCGAAACACACATGTTCGCTCGGGAGAAGTGTGTTTCGGCGTCTCGCCGCAGCGGGGAGCCAGTCACGTGGCTCTCCTCTCATCCGTTGTCTGCCGCTCCACCTTTTCCTTTTCGGAGGCAGGTTCTCGTGGCGATCTGCCAGGCTTTGTTAGTATATAGGAGGCTGTGAAGAAACCCATGGAGCGCGTGTGTGTGTTCCTTGCCCTGGCTGTGTAAGAACACAACCAGGTTAAGAACCAGGTTGTGCGGGGGCAGAGGTAGCAAAGGTGGCCTCCACGGGCGCATGCCCACGTTGGGATGCATGTACAATGCCCCCATGGATACTGCCTCGGCTATACCTGGCAGAGTTGGCGCATAGGTGGACTCCACGGGGGCACTGCGTGGGCATGCCCAACTTTAGATGCCCATGCAATGCTTCCTTGGGTCCCGCATCGAGTTGAAGGGGCCAGATTATAATAAATAAGGGACTCCAAGGGGGCAAAGCGCTGGCATGCCCAACTTAGACAACCTGTGCAACTCCCAAAATTGGACTTTCCGTTGATATTGAGAACACTTAATGCACGTTTTGGAAACGCAACATGGGAGATTGTTTTACTTTGGTACCAAATCACCGATAATTGTGATTTTACATCTGAAAAGGAAAATTCAGGTTTGCAAAACTATTTTTATTGACTTACTAATCAGCGGGTATGTAGAAAAGGCTTTTTTACTTGGGGTGGAATATTTTACGCAGGGTGATACATTCGAGGGTAAACTCCAAACACGATAGTCGGAATGTTGTTATTTGCACTAAAGCTCGGTGTCTGTATCCGCCTCAAGTTGGTTATGTATCCCTCTGCACCGTTTTTCCTTTCATTTCGTCCACTTAAAATTCCTCATTTCCAAAGGTCTAGACGTTTTAATATTTATCAAATGTATCAAAATGGTAAAAATGTCCCATTGGGCACACGGGAAAAGTGAGGTATGCTCCATTTCTGATGCCATGCAATATCCCACATCGTAGAGAAATTATCAAATAACCCCGAACACGATGAGTTTTCCGGGGAGACCTTTGTGGGCTCCCACGTAGGCCCACTTTGGGCCGGGGCGGAGAAAGGGGAGGTTCATGTGTGTGGGCCCATAAAAGGCCCTCTGTGGGCCGCATGAGGAGGGTCCTTGCGGGCTGCTCAAATAAACCCATTTTGGGTTCCATGATGGAAGCTCATGAGGGCTGCCCAAGTGGACCCCACTTTGGCCCGGCTTGAAAGCTGAGGTGGGACCCATGTTGGCCCTCCTTTCAGATCCAACTTTGGGCTACTTGTTTTTCTTTTTATCATGTCACCGACTATAGCAGTATCGTATGTTAATTTCTGCAATATTGCAACTTTGTGCAAAAGCTAATTACCAGAAGTCCTATTGATATCCAACAATTGAACAAAAACACCTCTAGTCCATAAAAATATATATTTCTGCCAAAAATATTTTCGAAATTATTGAGCGTTTATACCAGAACAATCAAAATAGTAGCGAAAATAATTAAAACTTTTACGTAAACCACCAACTTCATCTTTCCCCTGGGCAGAGCAGAGTAAAAATATAGCAATTAAAGACTAACTTCATGGTAATAAATCCCGAGACTCATAAACACAGAAGGAGACGAACACAACACAAAGTCTAACTTTCCTACATGCTTTTTGCACTTCCCTGCTACTCAAGTTAAAAAAAAAGAGTGAGAAAAAGGAAAGCAGGAGCTAAACCTAAGGCAGATAAGGGGCACATATCAAGATACTATAAAATCCTGTTTTTGAATGTTTTACTGTTGAATAACCATATGTTCTTATATACTTGACGCTCAATAGCTTTTCTAGCTATCTAAGTGTGGATGAATTTCTAGTAATTACAAATTGAACGCTCAACATTTTTCTAAAAGCTGGCATCTATAATGCTCTTTATAATCAATCGAGAAGCAACTGTTAAAAAAATATAGAAAATCAATCAAAAGTGGACTGTCAACGCACAGCTTAACTGTCAAACATAGATTGTGTGCTAATAAATTAGATAACCTAATATCAGTATTTAATAGTAAACCATCAAACGTCGATATTCTGCTACCAATAATCAACTTTTACACTATCTTTATTTTAGGAAAAATGATCTAGGGTATTGATAGTAATTTAATAGATCGTTTTAATTGCCACTTTACACGCATCTGCAGTTTCGTCTCCGTCGAGTCACTGAACGTGTGCTTAAGTCACCATATTACTCATTTGTTCGCCAGCGCGGCGTTGAAACGGCGCCGCTTTGCATTAAGCCTTGTGCGTGAATGCTTTATGAGTGGCAGTTTACTACCTCGACTAAACTACCTTGTGCCCGCTACGTCTTGTTATCAAGGAGGCGTCCGCCGGGCACAGGAGAGGAAGAAAAGAAACGCGTGAAAGTGGCGTCATCGGCAGTGTCAGGCAACAGCTCTTTTAAAGCAAGGCCTTTGCACTGGGCTTTTTCACGTCACCTATCGAAGGCCAGCGCCTGGCACAGACTGGTCATGCGCGTTACGTCATCGTTTGGCTGGGAATGGAACACGTGTTCCATCAGTGATAACACGACTCTCAGCCGAATGATGAGGCAGCACTTGTGCCCGTTATGTGCTCTGCGCAAGCCTCCGGATAATAGCGTAGAAAATTGAGCGCTATGTCCGTATTGCCTAGGAGGTGTCGCTTTTGCTCACCCTTCAGTTTGTTTTTTGACGAAAAACGGGCAGCAGAGGGGTTCACCGCGCGCCCTGCAACAAGTGGTACACGTGCCTCTAAAAGAAAAGGTGGTTTACGCTGAAACCTTCTCAATTTCAGTGCAACAACCGAATTTGGAGGCAAAAAGCAATGACATGCCGCTCCTAACTCGATGTTCTGTTTGTGTTGTTGTTGTGGTGGTGGTTGTTGTTGTTCCTTTCTAGCGTTTGAGCTTCCCTTTAACGGCGATCATAAATTTGGCTGCATGATCCTATACCAAGGCCTATTGTGTTCTTTTCTAATTTCCACTCTTATTTTTTTTAATTCGTAAGTTATAGATTTCAAGCCATTCAAAGTACCTGACTTATGTCTTAAATATTTCAGAGTCGGCAAAACTCAGAATATTATATCTGATAGATACAACCGTCAATGCGACTGACGAAAGTGTAAAAACATTTATAGGACTCGTCAATACTCAGGTAACGTTTTTGCTTTATTCTTACCAAGATAGCTTGCACTATAGTAATATTAAAGTCTCTACCGTAACGTTCCAGAACAGCAGCAAAAGCCATGACAGACATTGGCAGCGGCCTTTATCTTCGAATTTGTATAATGCAAGGGATGAAGCATATTTAAGTGGTGACTGTCTAAATGTGCTTAGAAAAGATTGAACAGCCGTTTTATGTAGTGAAGAAGGGCATATGGGGGGGGGGGGGTTATTTATTTGTCCGCAAAATTCGGGGAAGTTCAGGAAAATTCGCCAACTTCGGGCAAATTCAAGGACGTCACGTTACCTGAAGCACGGCCGCTGGATCTTCTTTCTGCGCGCTCCCTTCTCCGGCCTCCCACTCCGGTTCGAATACAATAGGAGGACCGTGAAGACAAAGCTTCTCGACTCGGCCGCTTTTTTCCCGGGCGGCGCCACAAAGCGCGACGCCCCGCGTCCCGTGTCCCCTCCGTATCGGCGAGCTCTTCTCCCGCCGTGCTGACTTCTCAGCGCCGCTTTTCCTTGTTTTTCTCCCGCGCCCACGGGCTGCTGTCATCGTTGTTTTTACTCAATGTTCAGATGTTGTTATTTATGCTGCTATTACGCCCTGTTTACGTGACTGTATCTTCAACGCCGTGAAGGATCGTCCGTCGTCGCATCAACGTGCTACTATCATCGTTGTGTTGTGCGCCTTCTGGTGCAAGGTTAGTCACGTTTTTTTACTGACATCTGCAATGTCGTGAAGGAACTGTAGAGCCTGTTCGGTTTATGTGCGCACATCATGCCTAAAAGTTGTTGTGTCCCCCTTTGCCCGTCGACTGACCGAAACAGCCCCGGCGACCACTATTTTGAAATACCAAGCAACGTGGAGCGGCGAGCGGCTTGGCTGAAGCGAATATCAAGGCAAGGCACCGCTAAAGGTAGCCCGTGGCAACCTGCTTCGAGGTCGGTCGTGTGCTCGCGCCATTTTATTGATAAAGACTACCGAGAAGGCTGCAAGAGAAAGCTCCTCCGGTCAAGCGCTATTCCCACAGTGTTTCCGGAATACCCCTCCTACTTGCAGGGCGGTGACTGTCCCAAACGAAGAAAGCTAAGTCGGCAAGAAAACGACGAAACACAATCAGATCGACGTTCCAACCAGGAGCGTGCCAATGAGAATGACAGCCAACATGCAGATGACAGGTCTGATCGAGTGGATGAGCCCCCGGCTGAAACTGATCCCGAGACGGAACCATCGGAAGAGACGACAACAACTGATCAAGAAAGCCAAACCGTGCTGAACGTTGCCGCAATGCTTGAAGAAAACAAAAGGAACACGCACCGCTTGCAGATGAAGGTGAACAGACTAAATTGCTCGATGCAGAAACTTCAAAAAAAGTGCGATGAGTTGAGCAGAAAAGTTCAAGAGTTTGAGCAGAATAAAGCGGTACAAGCTCTCAAGAACATCTTCGCTGCAGCAGACCGAGGGGACAAAACTGCCACTTTTGTGAGACACCAAATAATGTCGTTTGGAAAAACAAGGCCCAGCTATGAGGAGCATGTTCTCCGTGAGTGCGTCCTTTGGAAGGCATGCTCAAGCAAGGGATATGAGCACGTCAAGGCTCGGAAACTGTTCAAGCTGCCATGCCGTAGCACCCTCCAAAAGTTTGTTGGGCGTTCCACCGGAGAAGTGGGCGTCACAACTCTAATCAAAGACCGTCTACGTGCCGAATTTCAGGCATTGAAAATTGACCAAGAAAGGCACTGCTCTCTCATTATTGATGAGATGGCGATACAGCAGAAAGTCGTGTACGACCGTCAAGTGGACAAGATTTTCGGACTAGTTGACATGGGTATGGACTCGTCCGAAGCATCCAGTTCAGGCACGCCCCAAGTAGCAAACAGGCTGTTATGTTTTGTAATTCGCGGGCTTTCGACAGCCTACATCATCCCTGTCGGTTATTTTTTCACAAGATGCCTGAGGAACGACGAACTGAAGAAAATGACATTGAGTGTCATGCAGACCATTGAGGGCGCTGGATTTCACGTCACGAGGATTGTCACGGATAACCACAAGACGAATGCCGCGCTCTTCAGGAGCATGTCAGAAGACAAGACACTGCAGCATGTAATCGCACATCCTTTTCGGGAAGACGACCCTTTATTCTTATCGTTTGATCCCAACCATCTCATAAAAAATTTGAGAACTAATCTGCTGGAGAGAAGCATGTTTGATGGAGATGAGGAGATCCAAGGGGGTCTTTTCCTCAAAGAACTATACGACATCCAGAGTGGCCTTTTGGTGAAGCCGGTAAGGTTTCTGACACGGGCACACGTCGACCCCAGCAACCTCGAGAAAATGAAGGTGTCTAGAGCAACACTCCTATTTTCTCCAGTGGTTATTGGGACTCTTGAGTACCTCAAAGAAAACCCCAGCTGCCATGAAAGGGCGCCTACTTTCGAAGGCTGTGGCGCGACCGTCCGCTTCATGAGAGCCATAGGGAAGTGGTATGCTTTGCACAACATTGGTGGGTGGACCGATCGACATGACCAGGAGCAGCCCTTCATAACTACAGATGATGAAAGACTGTCGTGGCTCGAAGTGGACTTCGTTGAGTACATGGAACATCTAAGAACTTCCGGCGATGGTGCACGCAATCGCTGTATGACAAAAGAAACATATGAGGCGACTATGATGACGACAAGGTCCACAGTGGCCCTCGCCGAGTACCTTCTTGACAACATAAAGTAAGTCTATTATTCACATATAAAATTTATAGCAATATTAGTAACCGTATGCATAATCTCAATTCCTTTCATATTCTTTCCACAGCTTCCGGTACGTCCTAACACGCTGCTTGAACAGCGACCCCGTGGAGTCTCTTTTTAGCTGTTTCCGGCAGTTCAACGGTGGAAACGACAAGGTGGACGCAAGGACCGCTGTATTCACTGCAGAGAGGTTGTTGAAGGTATTTGAGCGTGACTATGATCAACAAGTAGTAGATCATTAAAACACTTTTTTTTTGTCAGGTCGGAATCATCGAGGCAGCAAAATCTGGAAATGCGCCAACAAGCTACGATGCCCAGACTTCAGTGCGATCGTCCGCTCCCCAACGTCCTGACGACAACCTTCCACCAGTCATAGAGATGGCAGCGAGGAGGCTCATGAGGGAGCTGAGGTCACCGGACGTTTGTGATCAAGTGTCAGAAAGCCTGGAACTCGCTCCACTAGCCTACGTGGCAGGCTACATAGCGCTTGCTTGTGATGAAAAGGTGAGCCACGTGTTAATATAGTCAGCACCATTAGAAAAGATAAAAAAAAAGTTCAGTGAAGATGTTGAGTGGCCACATATTTTATTCACGTGAAGAGCCGAAGTGTTTACTTGAGCGCTTTCTAAAGTTTCTTTAATTTGTCTTAGGTCACCTGTCCTTCTTGCAAGACACTACTTCATCAGCCTCGCACAACGGACAGCCCCTTCAACTTGCTTAGAATTCTCGATCGTGGAGGACTAACGTATCCGACGTTAGATGCTCTTTGGGTGTGCAAGATCACCTGCAGGTTTGTGCAGGACGTGCTGCAGTCCTCTGATGTCAGGCGAAGCAGTCAAATATCGAAGATGTTACTCGCCGCGTTGCTTCCTTGCATGATGTCGTGCCCACTGATGTGGTGCAAAGAAAGGGATTCCCAAGAACATAGCAGGGAACTTTGTGAATTGTTTCTGCGGAAGCTGCTCAGGCCACTCTTGGCTAACTGGACTGGAAACGTCAATGACTCCCTCGATAGATATATGAAGCTTTATCACAAGCCACTTTCACGAAAGGTCTTACGGTTGTAAGGTTGTGTTTCAACGAACACAATTCTCGCAACGTTATTGCGGTGATTACGTTAAAGTTTTCCGCATAATAAACAGATATTTTCATTTCTGATTTGTTTTCTTCTCACAAACTGCATCCTCACGGAGCACACGAGAGCTGAAGTGGCTCCGAAAGACGGGGCCAGGCACGACACGCTAGTACGATCAGATAAGGCACTGGGGGTAGAACAGGCGCGAAAAATCCGCGCCATTGAAAAAAAGAGGACGAGGCTGCTTTTTTTTGCAGGGTGACACAAGAATAGAAGAGTAATGGCCCATAAAAATGTCGCGTGGAATGGGTCTACCGAAATCGAACCAAGAACTAGGAAGGGCACTGACGTGTCGTGCCGACTCAACCCGCAAAGCACGCAGCCGTCGGCCAAAAGCGGGCGCACATAGCCGCGAGCGGCCGGGAGGATCTCCCGGTACCTCCGCCCGTCACGCTCTCCAGCGCCCTCACCAGTAACGCGGCGAATAACGCAACTAGCTCGGTATCTTCCTCCGGAGGGCGCATCGGCAGGCCGGAGAAGGGAGCGCGCAGAAAGAAGATCCAGCGGCCGTGCCTGAAGTTACGCGGCGTAGACACGTGACTTGACGTCACAGTTTTAAGTCGTGGTGTGACGTGGTAGTACCTCGACGTTATTTATGTGACTTCAAGTTCCTCGCTAACTTTGTCGGGAAAATGCACGGACGGGGAGACAACATTATGGAAATGGGTGTTTAGAAATCTCTAATACGCCTGATTTTGTCCAAAAGCTTGTTCTGAGATGGCTAGCACTAGAAAGATATGCTTCCACGGTATCTCCTCCAAATGCGAAACGCAGTTGGAGTATGAAACAAAACAAGGACGGCGATATGTGTTCTAACAGGTTGATTCGCGAATGTCTTAATAAGTTTATTTGTATTAACCCTATAAAAAAAAAACTTGTATCCATACCGTCAAGAGACATGCAGATTGCCTCGTAGTGGTTTTATTGCTTAAAAACTAAGGTTTAACAACTTAGTATTGTTCAATTTAAGTAACCCCAGCACAATCATACCATGCTTCCTTCCAAAATGCGTATTGGGTGTGATAATCTTTTGCTTCTTAATTTTTATTAATTGCTTATGAAACTGGTACCCAACAAGTGTAGGAAAGGTGCGTAGCACTCCAAAGTTA